GCCTATTTTTTTTTTTTTAATAGATGGGATGTTGGTTTGAAAAGAACCTGCCCATGGTTATGGAATTAATATGTTGCAGAGCTTAGATTTAAAGACCCGTCTTACTCCAAGAAGGTTTTTTTTCTTCTTCTTTTCTTTTCTGGTATAGCACCCTGTAATTGAAGTCCATGTAGTTAATTATATCAGGTCTTGAACCTATAAGCCTACACCTCTCTCCCTTTTCAACCCGTTTCTGATTTTCAAGCTCAATTTTATGTATTCTTGTAGTCCACTAGAGGTCAGTATTGGGCTGATAAAGAAAGGAGCCTTTGGCTTTTGATTCACAGAATTTTAACTCTGAGTCTTATTGCTAGGAACCCTTGGAAGTTGTATTCACAACAAAACTTTATTTAATAGCATGTGTAATGACAGTTGTAAAAGTTTTAGTAGCTACATTTTTAGGTGAATAGTTCAGGTTAGGTAATTCTTATGGGTTGCCACCCCCGCCCCCCCATCCACCTTCTAATAGGTAGGAGAATATCCAAATCATGTCTTTTACAGATATCCCTCTCTTTTATTGGGCCAAATCTCATTCTTAAATAAGTTTCTTTTGTTATCTTTTGCCTTTATATAGTAAACATTTATCTGAATTTACTGTGTATGTGTCACTGTATCTGAGCTTGTGGGATTCTCATAATGGTGAAGTATGTTTCCTGTCCTAAAGAAGAGAAGAGTTATACACTGAAGTGCCATACTGTTATTTTTTACTTGGATATCTGACAGGTTTATTGAACTCATCTTCTCTATCCTACCTTCAACTAATTATTTCTACGGTTCCTATTGTTTGGAATGATCCCACCATCTAGTCATAAAGACCAGAATACTTGGAGTTATTTTTATTTCCTTCCCCTCTCCCATGTACTACATTTAAATCAGTAAATTCTGTTGCTTCTACTTTTTCTGTAGCTGCTGCTACCTTAATTCAAGTCCTCATCATTGTTATTTGGACTCCTTTCATGATCTATATTAGTTTTCCTGTTTCTATTTTTTATCTTCTCCTAGTTGACCATTCCTCCGCTCCTAGGGGATTTGCCTAAATTGTAAAGCTGATCCTGTTCTTCCCCTGCTCACATTCTTCTGTTGTTTCTCCATTGCCTACTAGCTAACCTTGAAACTGCCTTGTATGGCATCTTTAACTTTATCTCTTGTTAGTCCTTCATAACCTATGTTCTTATACAAAATTATTTATTCCTTGTGTGGATAATGTTATTTCACATGTGGTGGTCTTTTCTCATCTGGTTTCTTTCTTCTGGAATGGTTACCCTTTCTATGTACTTCCCTTTGGAAAAATCATATTCATCTTTTTTTTTCGGTACGCGGGCCTCTCACCGCCACGGCCTCTCCCGGTGTGGAGCACAGGCTCCAGACGCACAGGCCCAGAGGCCATGGCCCATGGGCCGAGCCGCTCTGTGGCACGTGGGATCCCCCCTGAACCGGGGCACAAACCCGCGCCCCCCGCATCGGCAGGCGGACCCTCAACCACTGCGCCACCAGGGAAGCCCCATATTCATCTTTTAAGAGCACAGTTTGCTACCTCTTCCTCTTACATCCCTACAAGCAGATATGATTACTTTCTCCTTTGTCTAATCACTGCACCTGTATTTATTTCTATCTTTATACTCTTTGCACTGAATTTCAGCCCCTCAATTGCTTACCTACTTCTTACAATAGAATGATGTGAGGTTCAAGAGTCAGAGAATCCATCTTATTCTTTGTATACTCAGTGCAATATCTGGTGCCAAGTAGATATTCAATACATGTTTGCCTGAAAGTAGGGATACAGAGAGAAAACACTGTGAGTTAGAACAGTGAGAGGAGGCTTCCTAAAGGAAGAATAATTTTACTTGGGTTTTGGAGGAAAGGTTGGATACAGGCAGGGAGAGGTCATCTAGAAGGGAAATGGCATAAGCAAAGATACAGTGGTGGAAATATTTTTAGTATATTATGAGGTAGATTCTGATCCAAGTAGAAGATTCACGTTGGAGAGTATTGGATAATACATTGGAAAATTAAGTTCAGCTTCCATTATTGTGGAGTCTTAGTGATAAGATTATGGAGTTTGAATTTGTACTTGTTCAAATTGTTTTCCCCAGTTTACCTCATGTTTAATTGGTGTGATGAATGATGTGGTTTAAGAAGAGCCTGGCTGCAATATGCATGGGAATTTTAATGAGAAGGTGATGAGTTCCATTTTAGGTATGTTGGAAGTGAAGTGATGGTAGAACACACAGTAGTAATACGAAACTAGAGATATGCTATTGGATCTTGGGAGAGGGGAAAGAGTGGTAGAAGAGTAGGGGCTGAGGAATAAACCTTGCTTAATTTCTGTGTATTAGGAAACCAGAGAAGAACACATGTGAGGAATCTTGAGGAAGAGGTGGGTAAATGTGTAAAGATTATTCACAAAGAGAATGAACAACCAAGAAAAAAAAAAGCCTAAATGCTTTCTTAAGCCTATTTGTGTGGTTGATACCCTTTTACCTCTACTCCAACCTAAGCAGCAGAAATCAGTAGCTGCTTCTTTGGCTCCAAGGTTGTCTTTGGAGGGACAGAATAAATGGTCCTGGTGAGGTGGCTTAGCATGTTAGAAAAGAGCTCTGAAGAGCTTTTATTATTATTATTTTTTTATGGACTTTAGAGTCACATGTTAATTTTAATATATATTGCATATATTTACATATTTATATCTACGTTTACTCTTCTCCACTTCCTGCCAGTCCCATAGTATACATTTTGAATAGATGGTAGTTTTCCTTTGCTTCCTAATGGGTTATAACTGAGTATTTATTTAGTTGTTCTACCTGTTTTAGTATTTCCAACTTGGCCAGTTCTTTCTTGGCAGATCTGCCCTGACTGCTCATTTATAGACTGGAGAAGCCTTGATAATTTTGACAGAGAGCCCGGGTTCTCATAGAGACTTGGAATAAAACTTGCCGTGCTCTCATTTCTAGCATAGGGTTTGCTATTTTAATTTGCTGATTTGGCCTAAACTGCTTTGCGCTCCATCAAATTGATTGGTAAACCAGACACGCCTAAAAAGAACAAATCATAGATGATCTAAAATTACTTCCATAGGATACTTTCAGATTTGTATCATTTCAAGTATAAATGATAGTGCTTAAGTGTGGCTCCTTTTGATTGCTTTTGGTACACTGATAGTATTTTAGTGATTGTGAAGGAAAAATATTTAACTTTGGATTCAATAAAATAAGACCAACTTATGAAAGCTTTTGGTTTTGCTGTACTGAAAGAGAGGATAAAGAGACAAGTGATTACTCTCTAGTTGAGAGCTTGTTTTTTTAAATATGAAAGCGTTAGATTTCTAGAGTCCTGGATCCCTTTTTGTGTGGTTTGCATTGGAAGTAAGTGGGGGAGAACTTCTTACTTTTGAGAGAAGTAGAGTGTTCTATCTAATTTGAGGTCTCAAATGCTTGGAGGGTATGTATGTCTTGTGTACAAACATAAATGTGCTTGGATACCTTCTCTCTCAGTTTTGTTACTGAAGCCATGTATTTTATGTAAGTCAAACCAAAATATCAACAAGTACTATGCAGAGAAACAAGTTAGTCCATTGATTCAAGTCTCTGGAATGTAGATTCTTTTCATTTTCTTGGCAGAAACTAGCTCACATAGTTCAAGTTTTTCTCTGTCTTGTTATAATTGTCTCATTTAACCAGTACCTGGACTAACACCTTATACTGAATATTTATCTAGAATTCCTTAATCTCATTCAGAATATTTGGAGATTCTGATTTTTCTCCTGAACTGATTTCTACTTGTCACTGAGTAGAAATATCATATATTGATTAAGCAATGTATATTCTGGGAGGTCACATTTCTTAAGCTTTGTATCTTCAGATGATACTAAGTATTAGTATTATTTCTTCTGAAAAGGAAAGTTCCACTGTGAAATACTTTTGGAATGTGCTGGGTTAAACCATATTAAAGAAGTTTCCTTAAAATAGGACTTCTCCCAGTTTTTATTCTGTTAATGTGCATCGTATATCTACAAGAAGGCTTGTATAACATGCAGTGTTTCCCGTTTATTTGACCACAGAACTCTTGTTTTTGGGGAAACATTTTCGTCATGCTTTGAGGGACTGTTGGTATAGTGGGAAGATCACTGATACGGAATTTAGGAGATCACACTTTGGGCTTCTGATTTATCACTTACTAGCCTTGTAGCTTCAAACAAATCCTTTGTCTTCTAGCCTATTTCCTGAGTGGTGACTAAGGTCCCTTCCAGCTCTAATAATTTGGTTTAGCTTCTTTTGTTGAGTCTGTATAGTCACACTTTCCACCTCTTTGGATCTATGGAAACCACACCATCATTTGAGTCTATTTTGTTAAGTTGAGGGAATTATACTTTTCTATAAAAGTTTAGAAAAAGAAATGCTTAAAACTCTGTTTTCCACAGACTAAGCTCATGAAATCCTGTTTAGTTAGTTCAGGTTACTCTATTAAGATATTTTATTATCCTGATTAAAATTTATTTGTCTCTTGTATCCACATATGTGTTTCTAAGAGTCCCCTAAGCTTAAAGGCTCCTGTCCCTCTTCTCCCAACCACAGTGGTTCTAGTATAGCACTTATCTTTCAAGAGATAAATATTCAGTCATTTTTACTAATCTCTTGGCTACTTAGGTACAAATCAGTAGATTTCTTTTTTGTGATGACTTAGTGTTTGTATTTGAAAAGTCTCATGATAGTATTGACTGATTATCTCTTTTTCTATGGAAACTGGGGAAACGAATAAAGATAGGTAGCTCCAGGGTTAAAAATCTATACATTAATATGTTTGGTTTTATTTCTGGCACTAAAACTTTATGTATTAAGGGATTTTGTTGTATTTTTTTTAAGATACCAATTAGTTCAAAATTAGAAGTTCTTTGAATACTTAATTAAGTTCTGTTTCTTTTGTTTCTTTTTTTGTTTATTTGCGTGTATGTGTTTCTATCCTAGGCCCAACAACAAAGAAACCTGGATAACATCATCTTTCAACAACCCAGGATAGGTAGCAAGAGAAAACCTAAGAAAGATGCATATACAATTTTTGATACAGAGATAGGAAGCACTAGCCCCAAGTCTGAACAGGATTCAGGAATTCTGGATGTTGAAGATGAGGAAGATGATGAAGAGGTAACTAACATTTGAACCGGGGAAGTGAACCTGTTGTTACGTTTCAATATGGTATGTTTGAGATGTGATGAAGAATTTATCCATATAACATAGCTGTGTTATCTTCTGGATATTAAATATCATTTTAAATACAAATGTTCCCTGATTTAAGGAAACTGAAGATGTACTAAGATATCTTAGATTCTAGTTCTTTAGACTTTAAATATACTCATCCATTTTTTTTTTTTTTTTTTTTTTTAAGTTTCAGGGTTTGTTGATTGTATACTGACTGGGTACTACATTAAGGGAAGAGTAGAGTTTACCTGACTTAGAGAAAGAGATCTATTGATAGATGATCTCCACTGAAGCTGGAACAAAGTTACTTCAGACAAATAAAAGATGTTACTTTAAACAGTAGGAGTAAACAGAGATTTCTTAGGCTTGAGAAATGGTTCAGATTGAAATTGTAAAAAGGTTCCAGAAAGTTGAGAACACATTTCTGGAGGAAATAAATGTATGAGTAATTATAGGGTATCTGGGAATTTTGTGATATATCCCTAACCTCTTAGTTCTAGGACACTTTCAGGTAAAGAATAAGATTAAGTGGCTTAACTAGTACATTTTTTTATATCCTTCTTTGTTGGAAATATGTTTAATGTGTTTTTAAAAATAAAACTACTATGACATTTGAGATTTCCAGTTAAAACATTTTTGAACTACTTATCATTTGCATAAACTGGATCAGTTTTTTGTGAGTATAGTGGTTAGGTGCATGAGCTTTGCAGACTTACAGACTGCATTCAGATATTGGTTTTGCCATGTTATTTTATTTTACTGTAAAAATTGTCATTAATGATCATATTATTTACATTATCAAATGCTCACTGACATGTGCAAGGAACCATTTACTCCTGTTCTCAGTAATCTGTTTTATCTTTAAGTATTTGTCTCCTTTTCATTGTTTCATTTCTCCAGATAAAACTGGGTTCAGTGTTTCTTCTCCATCATTCTTCTTTGTTATGCACTTACTAACCTTCTTACTCTCCTCTCCATGCCAAAATACAGCCCCAAACTTTTCACTGTCTAACTTTGTAATCTTAGGGTAATCTTGATCCCCTGAATATTTTTTAGCATTCTCTCTTGCCTGGAATGACTGGTATGGTTGGACATGGATCCACCCTGGAGATCAGATTGTCAGGGATTAGACCCATCACAGATGAAAAATTACAGTAATAGTACAATAAAACATCAGGATCAAGATAAATCCAGTTAACATTTTAAACTTACAGTTTGGTTGCCCATTAAGGAAATTAAATTCTATCAGGCACTATGGCTTAAGGAAACAAGTTAAACATTGTCTGTGCCCCTGGATAATACACACCCCAAAGAGATGGTTATGTGATAAGATGAAAGCATGAAACGTACACAGTTCTCATATATTAGTGAGAACCTTCTGGATATGAGCTACTGTTTATCATTAGCTCACTGAAGATACTGGGCAAGTCCTTTTTAATTTTTGTGCCATATTTCTTCATTGTTTTGTCTTCTGAGGTCCAAAGAGGATGAAGAAAGTACGACTAGTAAAACGTGTTGGGATCCCTCATAAAGGAAATATTGTAAGAATGTACTTGGAAGTTAACATTTTAAAATGGTTCTGTATCCCAAATCAAACAGAATTTGTATTAGAGATTTGCTGATTGAGCTCTTACAACAAGAATTCAGCACTTTGCTGTCATCTAATGGCATCCTATCTTAAAAAAAAAATCCTACCTTATATTTATTTACTTCTCAGTTTGAGTCTTCTTCAAGTGCACATTCTTAATCTCAAACCTCATGTAGAGAATTATTTATTTAGATGTCTCCAAACTGGTTTCTTGGCATAGTTCTTGCATGGTGTGAATAAATTCTTCAGATAAGGTCTTCCGTGACCCACTGTGACGTTCTGACCTTCATTCTTGTCATTCTTCAACAGACCTCATTGAGAGTAGCGTAAATAGTTTTTGAAATATTTTGACTTTTAAACTGTGCCATAGAATCTAGTAGTTCTTAATCTATTTGGAGATCGTTATATTCCTGTGAGAGTTTGATAAAAAATATGGAGCCTTTACCCAGTAAAATCTATGTATATTCACTCACAGAAAGTTCTGTATGAAATTTCAGGGAATTTGTGAAACTCATGTTGCCCTTAGGACCTGAGTTAAGAGCCATGTTGTAGAGAAAGTGCTTCTTGAACTTAAATGTGCATAGGAATCACCTTGGAATCATCTTTAAATGCAGATTCTGATTCTACAGGTTGGGGGGTGAATCTGAGAATCTACATTTTTCACAAGCTCCCAGGTAAGGATGGTGCTTCTGGACCCTGGGCACACTTTGAGTTGCAAGGCTATAGTGGACCACGAGGAAGCATTTTTAGTACATAAAGCAAACAAACTCATGAATGTTTAGGTGTCCTATTGCTTTTTCATTAACATGTCCTAACATTTTTCCAGCAATGAATACAGTACTTGAAGAGAAAGTTATATTTTGTCTTCTAAAATCTGTTGCTTGTAATAGATTACCTGCATTATTTTTTATGAAATTTTATGATTCTGATTTAATATACTTAAGTTTAGGTATATTTTTCATTCTCTGAAGAACTTTTTGCCCTTTCCTGTGCTTTTAATGGAAGTGTACTTAATACGTTCTTTGAGCCAAGTGACATTTGTACATTATTTAGTATGTTTTTAGTTTGATAATACTTAATAGTAGACCATAGAATGAGATGGGTAAGGAAAACCAAACACCTAGAAAATAGCTTTGCACATAGTAAACAGATAGTTAATATATTTTTAAACTGAAATAAAGTTTGTGCCAGAGATGGGAAAAACTTAATAGCCTGGGGAACTGAAGATGAAGTCATAGAAGTGAATTGTCATCTTGGATAAAAAACTGACTACATGTTGAGCTGACTGACAGAGTCAGTCTCTTGATTGCTGAGAAGTGTTGCAGGAAAACTGCTCCCCTGTAAATTCTCTTCCTATTTGTATTTTATTTTTGTCTAAACTAATGAAAGGGTCGCCTTAGTTAAGGTAAGTTTTTTTTTAACTTGTCTTATATTACAGTTGAACTATATAAACTACTGATATTTGACCGTTTTTCATCAACAACTTAATTCAATTGGTTTTCAGTGGAAATATGTGTGATTTGGGGAATTAAAAAAAAATTATATAAGTTTCAAGTGTACAACATTATAATTTGAGATCTGTATATACTACAAAGTGATCACGCACCAAATGGTCACATCTGTCACCATACAATTGACCCCCTTAATGCCTTGCATCCCCCAGCCCCCTTCCCTTCTGTTAACCACCAATCTGTTCCCTGTAACTGTTTGTTTTTGTTTTATTTATTTGTTTTGTTTTGTTTTAGATTCCACATATGAATGAAATCATACAGTATTTGTCTTTTTACTTCTGACTTATTTCACTTAGCATAATACCCTCAGTTCCATCCATATCATCCCAGATGGCAAGATTTCATTCTTTTTATATAGCTGCATAGTATTATTGTGGGTATATCTGTATCTCTAGATCTGTATCTATACCTTTATCTACACCTATATGCCACATCTTTTTTATCCATTCATCCATTGATGGACACTTAGTTTTTTTCCCTATCTTGGCTATTATAAATAACGTTCCAGTGAACATGGTGCATATATCTTTTTTTTTTAATTCCTCTACTTTTTTTAGCAAATTGTATTTTTTATTTATTTATTTTTGTCTGTGTTGGGTCTTCATTTCTATGTGAGGGCTTTCTCTAGTTGCGGTGAGTGGGGTCCACTCTTCATCGTGGTACACGGGCACTGTCGCAGCCTCTCTTGTTGCGGAGCACAAGCTCCAGACGTGCAGGCTCGTAGTGTGGCTCATGGGCCTAGTTGCTCCGCGGCATGTGGGACCTGCCCAGACCAGGGCTCGAACCCGTGTCCCCTGCATTGGCAGGCAGACTCTAAACCACTGCACCACCAGAGAAGCCCCGTATGTCTTTTTGAATTAGTGTTTTCATATTCTTTGTATATATACCCAGAAGTGGAATAGCTGGATAATGTGGTAGTTCTATTCTTAACTTTTTGAGGAATCTCTGTACTGTTTTCCATAGTGGCTACACCAATTTACAATCCCACCAACAGTTTGTGAGGGTTCCCTTTTCTCCATATCCTCTCCAACACTTGTTATTTCTTAACTTTTTGTTAAAGCCATTCTAATAGGTGTGAGGTGGTTACACCTGTTATTATGGTTTTCATTTGCATTTCTCTAGTAATTAGTGATCTTGAACATCTTTTTATGTGATTTTTGGCCATCTGTATGTCTTCTTTAGTAAATTGTCTATTCAGATCATTTCCCCATTTTTTAATAGGGCTGTTTGTTTTTTTGTTGTTGAGCTGTATGAGTTCTCTGTGTAGTTTAGATATTAACCCCTTATTGGATATACGATTTGCAAATATCTTCTCCCATTCAGTAGGTTGCCTTTTTGTTTTAATGATGATTTCCTTTGCTGTGCAGAAGCTTTTTAGTTTAATATGGTCCCATTTGTTTATTTTTGCTTTTGTTTCCCTTGCCTTTGGAGTCAGATCCAAAAAACATCACTAAACAGAAGTCAGTGAGATTACCACCTATGTTTTCTTCCAGGAATTTTATGGTTTCAAGTCTTATATTCAAGTCTTTAAACCATTTTGAGCTAATTTTTGTTTATGGTATAAGATAATGGTTCAGTTTCATTCTTTTGTCTGTAGCTGTCCAATTTTCCCAATACCACTTATTGAAGAGACTGTCCTTTCTCCATTGTATGTTCTTTGCTCCTTCATCATAAATTAATTGTCCACATATGTGTGGATTTTTTTCTGGGCTCTTAATTATGCTCCATTGATCTGTGTGTCTGCTTTTGGGCCAGTACCATTCTGTTTTGATTATTATATCTGTGTAGTATAGTTTGAAATTAGGATCATGGTATCTCTGGCTTTGTTGTTTTTCAAGATTGTTTGG